TGAGAAAGTTTAATTTATAAGTTAATTACAAGAGACTAATAACAATATCTAATAGAATGATTTTAAGACTATACGTTAATAAGCTATATGATGGATATGAAGATTCATTCTTGCTGGACATCATAGCAACCTCAGAATCTATGGTCGATCGGTCGGTTGGTTGGTTGTTTTGTTTTATGAAATATCAACCTCAGTGGGTCATTTAATACCAACAAAATTTTTGAAATAGATTCATAGTGATAGTTTAGTAAAAAAAAGGTGTGTATGTATACATATACATATTTGAACCATTTTTCAATTACTCATATTTTTGAGTACAATCACATGTATTGCTGGTAATTTTTTTTTTTCAAAAATGTATTGCTGGTAATAGTTTTTTTCTTCAAAAATTTATTTCTGGTATTAAAACCTATTTTTACACTTTTATAATGCTTTTTACCTCAGTTTCCAGGGTTAACTATTTGCCCATAGCTGGGACCCAAACAGGTGCTACCACCCCAGGTCAGAGTGAACCTGGGAACACCAGCAATTAAGAGGTGGTTCCATGCTCCTCAAAACCTCCTGATCAGAGGCCTTGCTGTTGGACGTAATTTATCGTCTTACCCAGGACACAGATGTAGTTTATCGTCATACCCAGGACGGTCAGAATCTATGGGTAACTGAAATTGCAGATAAAATGAAACCATTGTATTCTTACTTCCCTATAAAAAAAAAAAAAGTCAACCTGAAGTTTCTTTTTTTCCTTTGTTCTGAAGCTGATATTATCAAAGTGATAACAAATTCAGCTATGCTTTCTTGTTTGCCATATTTTATTGATCTACTGTAATTTTTGATGAAATACTTACATTTGACTTTCAAATAGATGGGCCAAAACAATTAGTCATTATTGGAGAAAAATCCGTCTGGGATATCCTTATTTCGACCACCCCTTTTATTAAGTATTCAAATAAAATACTTTATCTTTGAATGCTCACAGCCTAAATTAAAAGGTGGGAGGAAATTTCCTGGATATTTAATAAAAGGATTGATTGGAATAATTATGTCATGGATGAATCTTATTCAAAATATCACATATTTTACTTGTTCTAATTTAAAAGTGGATGCACAATGGAGTAATGGATAGCAACTTGGATTGAGGAATCAGAGAGCTGGATTCAAATTCCAATCAAATCCATTATGTTCACTTTCGTGCTAATACCATTGGGAAAGATATGAATCCTCTTCTTCTCCCTCTAGCTATGGGTAAATAGCAGGACAGACTGGGTTCTATAGCCTTGGATGGCAACTGGTCAACTGCAGAAAGTAATGGCAACCTACTGCAGGAAAAATCTGCCTTGTCAGTCATGTATTGAAAGATATATGATCCCCTAAGCATGTACCATGCATGGCACGTAACTGACTGAATGTACAAGAGTGAAGCAAAATTATGTGTCTGCACATCAAATGTCGACATCTTCTTTTTCTATGTGCCATGTGAGTGATCATGGCTCTCCAGGATCTCCTACCCATTGTAGCCCTTAGCAATGTTTGTCTCTTTATCAAGCCTCTCATTACTCTGTTCTGGCATCCATTCACACAAGCTTGTCAGCAAGATAACTTGCTGCCTTCCTCTGTCTCTTTTTCCTTCAATATGTTCTATTGTCAAATACCTAGCAATTCTACCAGCTACAAATAAGTTTTATGGTTGTTTGCTTTTCATTTTTATATTAAAAAGCATTAACAATTTATGCTGATGTTTTTTGACTATTTTGAAATTTCCTATCTTAAAGAGTTTGCTGTAAGGGAGACCTAGGTTGTAGACTATGAAATGGAGAAAAGCTTAACCTGTACAACATTCGTTAGTTTTTAAAGTGGGAATAGTTATGTAATAGTATCTACTCAAAATCCATTGCCTAAAAATCCAGGCTGATGATAGTAAAAATACATTTGCCTGTTCTTGGGCACCAAGCCAAATAAAAAACTATCAAAGATGTTGTCTCCCCCTTAACAAGTAAAACATGCCTTTTTGTTACTTTCCAACCATCCTCGTCCCTCTTACTTTTTCTTTCATCTCAAAATATTTTAGTTTATCCCTACTTCAAAATTCTAATCCTTATTTACCATTACAGAAAATCTAAAATATTTATGTACTAAAGAACACTCACCACACACACACACACACACACACACAATGGTCTCACCATAATTATGAATGTAAATAAAATGTATTTATTAATCTGAATAAGCATATACTTAAAATCTTCTTTTAAGTGTTTGTGTCCCTTCAGGACGTGAGCAATCATGGCTCTCCAAAACTTCCTATTCTTTGTAGTTCTTATCAATACTTACAATATAAATATAAATCAATATGGGAGAAAAATTATGTATATATTTTTATATACCAGAACAATGTTAGGAAAAGTAATGTGGAAAAATCTTTTCATGTAACACATTTCGTCCTTTAGGATTTTGTCAGACTAAAGTTATATCTACATTGATGTAAGTACACATGCACACGAAAAGGGAGGAGCACTAAAATTTTAAACTTTTAGATATGATATTTTTTTTTTATATGTGCTTGGGCATATAGACTCGCCACTTTAATTTATTTTCTTTTTTATGTTTTTATCAC